CAGGCCGGCTGTAGGGAGCAGCAGCGACAACCCCATGATTATCCATGCTAAGGAAATCCCCCCACACCCTCCTGTTTCCCGACCCAGCCGGGCTCTGGAGCCAGGCTGGAGCTTTGTGGCTTCTCCTGCCTCTCCAGAAGGCCACTGGTGGTCTGGTGGTCTCTCTCCACATCCACTCAGCTTTCCCCCTGCCAGGGCTTTGTACATTGCCCCTACCTTGCTGGACCCCTGGGCTTAGGAGCACATACTTTAAGATGCCGTAGCTAGAGGAGAGGCTGGAGCGGGCAGGTACAGCAGAAAGCCGTGCTTGTAATACTTTTCTCAGTGTTATTTTCTATAAATTATGTTGCTACTGCTAGAAAATTCTCTTCCAGAGTGGGTGACAGGTAGGTCCTTTGTGGTTGGCTCAAAGCCTCCAGTAGGAGGAGGAGAGCGCTGAAGATGCAGTTTTTAAACCTTGCCAGTCTTAAAATGTCTCTGCCTTCTTTGGGAGCTAAACAACCGATGCCTAATTTATGCATACCTTACCAATCTCTTCTATATCTGGTACTACTTTAATTCAACTGAGATGTTCTTGCCCACAATTTCCATACTTATCTGGAATCTTCTCACCTATTCGTTTGTTTTGTTTTAAGGATCTGTTTATCCTGCTAGTATCTGTTACCTATACCTTTCTTCCATTTCTGGTTTACTGTCCCGGAGTCCTTAGCCATGTAAAGAATTGGGCATAAGATAATCAGCTTGTGGGTGACTTGGTTAGCTACTGGAAATGTGGAACCAGCTGCCTGAGGAAGTGGGACGACCCGGTCCTCCTAGCTGCTGGAGAGAGGAGGTGGCAGCTAAGGCCTGATGGAGGATGACAAGGTCATGCATTGTTCTCCAGGTGAAAACCTGATTCTAGAGTTCTGTTCAGTGAACTTGCATGGGTAATGCTGGGGAGCAGCAGCCTAGGGTGGTTTCTCTCCAGCCCTCTCTTTTTTGGATACCTGATGGTAGGTGTGAGAGAAGGCACCATACAGAGGAAAGGGCATGGGATTTGGTGTGTCAGGAAACCTGGGTTCAAATCCTAACTTAGCCACTTATTCTCTGGGCCTCAGTTTCCTCATCTGTAAAATTAGGAGGCTGAACTCCATGACCCCTAAGGTCCCTTCCAGCTCTAGATCTTTGAGCTTCTCATGGGTATGAGAAGGGAAGCCTCCATTAAAAAGACATGTGGAAGTAGGAAGACCCATCCCCAGGGACAGACAAAGGGTATTCCTTTGTGATTAAAGCCGACAGCAATGAAATTTTTATCTTCTCCAAGAAAAGGAGAAGGCTAGGGGTGGAGGGCAAGGAGCCATAAGGGAAAAGAGAGGAGGAAGACATTGAAAAACTGAAACAGGGGCAGCTAGGTGGCTAAGTGGATAGAGCACTGGCCCTGGATTCAGGAGGACCTGAGTTCAAATCCAGACATAACACTTACTAGCTGTGTGACCCTGAGCAAGTCACTTAACTCTATTGCATAGGAGAAAGAAAGAAGGAAGGAAGGAAGGAAAGAAAGAAAGAAAGAAAAAAAGAAAGAAAGGAAGAAAGAAAGAAGAGAGAAAGAAAGAAAGAAAGAAAGAAAGAAAGAAAGAAAGAAAGAAAGAAAGAAAGAAAGAAAGAAAGAAAGACAGACTGAAACAGAAAGAAGAGCATATTAGCCAGAGATCAGGACAGAGCATGGCAGGTATATGCAGGAGCAAATAGAAGAGCAGCCCCAAAACCTTGGGGAGGGCTGGGGTGTTTACCACTCCTGGAACACAAGAACTTGAATGTCTCCAGTAACTTGAAAAGAGTTCTTTGAAGACTAATTAACAGAAGCTTCACTTCACTATCAGGAAGTAATGGGAGTTACTTGAGAAACAGTAAAAAGCTGATAAGCATAAATTGGTTCAAGATTGTAGACAATTCTGGGATAATATGTAATTATTAAATTATATTTTTATTGTTATATATAATATGAATTATATTATAGTTATTAGTAGTTACTAAAGAAGCTGCAAATTTGGAAGACATGTCCCTAACCTTTTGAGGTTGATATCATAGAGAGAACTATGCTTCTCCAAAAATGAACCATACATGGTTGTCATAGACCAAGTCATCATTTTTGATCCAGTGTGGTGTTTCTGACATCCCATGAAAAGCTCCCCCTTTCAGTATCTATTGGGGAAGACCCCCCCCCAGTGTAACAGTCAGAACCCCTCTTGGTTCTGACCACCACTTGGTGGTCAGGAAAATTATGCAAGGGTATCAGGGAAAACGTGCCTGCCTGCAATGTAGCCCATGGAAAGAAAAGGGGATGATACGACCTAGGTTGGTGAATTGTTGTGGACTTTTATAAACTGAGTCTCTTGCCAAAACTAATCTTGGCTTTTGCTGGTCATCGTTTCTTCCCTAATCACATCTGGATAGATCAGCATCCAGCATTTCACTGTCTAGGGAACGTGGGAGGGAATTTGTGAGTCAGAAGTAAGGAGCACAGAAGTGATACTCAGTGTTGGGGCAGTAGAGACTGTGTTAACTGGTAGCTCAGTGGCTAAAGCACTGGGCCTGCAGTCAAGTAAATTCAAATCTGGCCTCAGACACTTACCAGCAGTGTGACCCTGGGTAAGTCACTGAACCTCTGTTTGCCTCAGTTTCTCAAATTGTGAAATGGAGATAATAATAGCACCTCACAATAACTCACAAGGTTATTGTGAAGATCAAATAAGATGATATTTGTAAAAACATGGAGCCTGGCACATAGTAGAATATATAAATGCTTATTCCTGTCCCCTACTCTGTGTTCATCCAAAGATCCTGAAGTGTCTTATCTAGCTAGCTTCCTCTCTGGATGGCCAAGCTGAAAGTTACCCAGCAGCATTCATGTTCCCTGGAAGTGATGTTGGTTCATAATTAAAAAACAAAAAATGATTTAGTCATGGCCCTTTTTTGTTATGAAATGTTAGTGGGGCCACAGAATCAGACCTGGAATAAAATGAAGCCCACATGGAGGATGTTTACTGTGGCTGTGGAACATTCCGGACCAGAGCAGAGAGTTCTGGAAGTGGTACTAGTCAAGGGCTATACTGAAGGCTGGGTGTGGGTCTCTCCTGAGACCTTTCTACCCTTAGGATAATTTTGCATGGTGCTTTGGAAAAGAAGATCTTGAAAATCTTCACCTTTTAGAACTCATTTAGGCTTATCTCTTAAGAAAAAGCAATGTTTCCTATTCCCAGGGGTTAGCTAAGGAGGGGCGGGGATGGCCTGGCCGGAAAGGTATGACAGGAAGGTTTTTGCTGGCTTTCTGAAGAAAGATAAGTTAGTCCTATCTCAGCGTGGCCTGGCTGATCTTTCTGTCTAAGGGAAGGCTGGAGAAAGTTCCCTTTGTTCTATAAACAGGATGCTGCTGTCCATTGCCCTGTGGTCCTGTGTTCTGGGAGAGTTTGGCATTTTTCTATTGTACCCTGCCACAGCCTGCTTCCTGTCCCCACTTCCTTTGACTACACTAATTTCCAGTTGGGATCTTGGATCATGTGTCACTCCCCTGGGCATGAGAACTGCCCTGCCCATGTTGCCCTGCTCCAAGACTCCAAGCACATGTTTCTCTAGACTTTAGCACAATGCCCTGTGCACAGTAAATGCTTAATAAATATTTGTTGAGTTGAATTGAATTCTAAATCTCAGAGGAACCTTTCCCAGGTCAAAGGGCATTGTGTCAGTGTTTGATCCCTGGTGTTGCCAAGATACTCTTTGGGGAGCATTGTATATCACACGAACATTTTCTTTGCTCCCTCCCTCTTCCCCCTTTTGTTGGGGGGGGAGTGGGGGAAGAAGGCAATTGGAGTTGAGTGAGTTGCCCAGTGTCCCTTCACCTTTCATTCTGAAATGAAATACCCCAACCTGAATGACCATTTAGCCATATGGAAGTAAGCACAGAAGGTGATCTCTCAAAGATGAAAAGTAGCAAGCTTTGTTTATGGCAAAAACCAGACAGTAAAAACCCAGCCACATGAAAGTGCAACATTTTTCACCCGGGTTCCCAGCTTTGTCTCTCCAGCAGACCTAAGTCCCTGATAAGCATTCTAATTCTCATAGTTCCCAAACTGTGCTGAGCCTTGGGAATAATAAGAATGTGTGTACATCTGCTTACCCACCGAGTTCAAAGGACCCCCCACTTCCCACCCCGGAAAGAATCCAGCTGGTTCTGAGCAGGGGAGTGTAGCACTGTAGCGGTCTGACAGGTCAGTTCAGTTTAACTTTTAGGGCTGGCCATGAGATGGGAAGGGAAATCGTTTTTGAATTTCCCCAGGGTATAGCATTGGTCAGGGGTGATCTCAGCTTTCATCCATGACTCCCCTCACTATTCTCGCCAGTATCTGATGTCAACAGGAAATAAGACTGATGCAATTGAATGCAAGACCAACTCAGTGCACATGCTCCAGCCCAGATCCCACCCTTCCTACCCTGCAGGCTCCACCCTTCCCTCACGGTGGACTAGGAGCATCCTCGTGCTACTAGGCAAGAGGAACTTGGCAAAGAAGATGTCAAGCATCGGCTGTAGGGCACGGGGGAAGGGCCAAACTAAGCTAGCTGGTGCCCCAACCAAGCTCCAGCTTTATGGATGTTAGAGCAAGGGGGAGGAAAAGTTTCTGTGCCCAGGGTAGTGTGATCCACCTGCCTGTGCCAGGCCAGCCTGAACACTCTTCTTTTGTATGCCTTGAACTCAAGGGTTCTGACCTATTCTTAGAGCATGGGCTATTTATGATTTTTTTATTTTAAATAGTATAGAAGATAGAATACATAGAACTCGTGTCTACATCTTTGGTGTATTTGTTGTCACTTCGTGGGTTTGGATTTAGAAGAATGACCCCAGATACGTTAGAGTAAAACACTTCTTCGGAGTTGGGCAGTGTCTTCCTTGTGCCACTTATGACATCTTCAGTGGCTGGACCCAAGCCCGCCATTTCAGAGAACTTGGTGCTCTTCGGTGTGGGAGTTGCCCTTGTCCTCCATGCCACAGTTGGTGAAGCTTTCATTTTGCACCAGCCCAGTCAAGGTAAACCTCACTGGCTCCTAAGGTTAATAACAGGGTAGTAATAACCTGCTACCTCCAAATCTGACAGTGAATCAGGGCCCCCACCCTATTGCATGGCTCTTTTCCCAGGATAAGATGCAGAGTGGGCTCTGGTGTTAACTGTGATCTCTTGGGACACACCCAGACCCATCACTCCCCGGATCTTGCCTAGACGCTCACCACAGAGTCTGGAAGCTGAGTATTGTGCTCACGAGGGCGGGGAGTGGAGTGAGGTTAGGGAAGAAAGTTCACTGACTTAGGGCACTCGGATTTAGTCAAGTAAGAAATGGTTTTATTCCAAACCATTGACCCTCTACAGAGCCCACAGTTTGCCCTAACTCCTTGGCCTCATGCCCTGGAGTACTTTCAGTTGTTGATTTGAATTTGGTCCAGGTATTGCAGCTATCACTCCAGTGGCTGCTGCTAGCACCTGGTGCACTGTGTAATCTTAGTTACACAGCTGTGTAATGATGCCTCTCAGACATACACCTTCTATTTCCTCCCTCTGTCTGGACAAGAAGGGAGAGCCAATGAGGGGCAGTAAATATCTTGGGGAAACTGCACAGTATAGAGTCTGTTTCCATTGAGGCCCAGATATGAAAGGTAAGGATCCTCTGCAATAAACTGTTGGCATGTAGCTCAGGAGGGCCATAAAGCCTGAATATAGCCAACAAATACTAGCTAAGTGCCTGTTCTGTGTATAGCACCATGCTGGACCCTGGGGTGGTGTGCACAGAGCAGGGGAATTGACAAACCTGGGAAAGACACCCTGAAGGACCAGCCACAATACCCAAAATATACATTTCAGTCCTCATTTGCAAGACTTGCTATATTGCCTTTCTTAGTCCTAGAGTTAGAGATTTGGAGCTAGAAGGGACATTAGAAGCATCTACTCCAACCCTGTCATTTAACTCCCTAAAATGTAAGGTCATACAGGTAGCAAGCATCAGAGACAGGATTTCAACTCAGGTCTTATTTCTTAACATCATGCCTATAACAAGGTGTTCTGCCCTAGGATGAGCCACTGGAGTGGGAGAAACCAATCCTTTCTCAAACTGAGATTGAGCAGAAGATCAAGGAGTATAACAGCCAGATTAACAGTAACCTCTTCATGAGCCTGGTAAGCCCTGGAGTGGGGAGGAATTTAGACAAGAGCAGAGAGAGGCCTCTTCCTCCAGGCTGAAGTCACAAGATATCATTTTGTTTCTTTTTCTTTTTTTTTTGTTTTCTTTCCTTTTTGGGGGGTAGGGGAGGCAATTGGGGTTAAGTGACTTGCCCAGGGTCACACAGCTAGTAAGTGTCTGAGGACAGATTTGAACTCAGGTCCTCCTGAGTCCTCTATCTACTGTACTGCCTACGTGCCTCCATTTTGTTTCTGAGTAAACAAGTATTTGCTGAGTACCCAGCCTGTCCTCTGCTTTCATCAGCCATCTGCTTTCACAGCCTTGGGTTGTGTCTTAGTATCCTATCTCCAAGTATTGAATATCCCTCTTCCTTTCCCCAGAACAAGGATGGTTCCTATACTGGTTTCATCAAGGTACAATTGAAACTTGTGCGCCCAGTGTCTGTGCCGGCTACCAAGAAGCCGCCTTCCCTGCAGGATGCCAAGCGACCCCCTGGGAAAAACCAAGCAGTGAAGCGCCGTACCTCCTTTTATCTTCCCAAAGACACAGTCAAACACCTGCATGTGTTGTCACGGACCCGAGCCCGAGAGGTCATTGAGGCGCTGCTCCGAAAATTCCTAGTGGTGGATAACCCCCGAAAATTTGCCCTGTTTGAGCGGGCAGAGCGCCATGATCAAGGTAGAGAGCCTACCCAGCTCCCCTTTCTCCTCCCCTGATTCCTTTGCTGTATCTCCATTTAGGATTCTGAGGCTTCAATGTCTTCTCAGAAAAGTGACTCGGCTACTATGGGCTATTCCTAGTTCAATAGGTGGGGGTATTAGGCCAGGTTGACTGAGTTGGACCCTTGGTGATGTTTGGAGTCCTTGGCCCTAAAAATTGGATGATTGTGATTATGCCCTGCAGTGTACCTGCGGAAGCTGTCAGATGATGAACAACCCTTGCGCTTACGACTGCTCGCAGGACCTAGTGAAAAAGCCTTGAGTTTTGTGCTAAAAGAAAATGAGACTGGAGATGTCAATGTGAGTATTGAATCTGCTCTGACAGAGGTTTGGGGGAGTCTTGGGCCCCATCCCATGTTCTATGGTGGTAGATATGGTCTGCCATTTCCACAGGTTCGGGATCACAATGTCCACGCTCATTAAATTTCCATTGGTTGTAGCCCAGGCAGGTTGGGGTTGGAGTGATAAAGTGGGTCAGAGTGAGATATAGCAAAATCTAAGCTAAAAGGTGTCTCTGCACCTATCCTTGTATCAAGGTAACTATAAATCTATCTATAGCTATACCAAAGTCTACCTTGGAATGGACTTAGTTTTCTGGAACTCATATAGAAAAAAGGATAGGGTTTGTTCTCCCATTTGGTGTGAAACATTCCTCTGATTGCCTGAGTTGGAAACAATAGGACCTAGGGAAAGGTATTAACTGGGCTTAGATCATAGGGACTCACCCTGTATCTGTCTTTACCCTCAGTGGGATGCCTTCAGCATGCCTGAATTACATAATTTCCTGCGTATCCTGCAACGAGAAGAAGAGGAACACGTGCGACAAATCCTACAGAAGTATTCTCGTTGCCGCCAGAAGATGCAGGAAGCGCTAGAAGCCCGCCCCCTGGGATGACCCCCCTCTCCCCTTCTCCTTCTTGACCTCAGGGTCAGGATTGCTTAAAGGCTTCAAGAGGCCACCAGGCCGAGTGGATGGGGGGTGGCGGGGGGGCAGCACAGAGTGGATGTCATGTGAATGTGTCTGGGCCTGAAGAGTGAGTGTGTGTGGAGGCTTCCCAACTGAGGGGGAGCTAGCGAGGTGTGTGGGGACATAGGATGTCCTTAATGTAGCATCATGGCTGCTACTTTGGAATGACAGAGGCTGAAAAGTCCTCTTATACAATATTGGAGCTAGGACTGAGAAACCCCTGTGGCTCATTGTGATACATCTGGGAGGGTGGTTGGAGTAGGGTTCAAAGAGCACAGTCTTCTTGGATTGTGGCATTCTCTATTTCTTCTGTCCACCACCCCCAGAAAGTACCCATAGCCATGAGAATACCAAGGGGGCAGCTCTCAAGTAGAGCTCCCAGGCAGTGAACATTTTTGGTGCTAGCAAAGATCTATTTTGCATAGCTCAAGGATGACAGCCATATGCCCCGTTGGCTTGTTGTAGAGAGGTTGTGTTGGCCCAAGCTGAACACACTCAAGACATGGTCTCATTATGGGTGGAATAGCTTCAGCAAAATATGATGGCTCTTGAAGGGTCATTGGTTTTCATGACTATGTGGGACCAGCCCCACTGAGATGGAAAGATTAGGAGCTCAAGATGTATACCCCTTAGGTATACGGGGAGTAAAATGGATTTGATTTCAGTGATAATCTTTGGAGATCTAACCCAACAGGCACCCCAATTATGAGGACAAGACTGCTGGATGGAGGCGCAGTCATGGCGAATGAGAGGGCTCAGAAGAATCCTAGCCAGCATGAGGACTTCATTGTTGCTGCTAGGCTCTGAGGGAGTGGCCATTCGCCCAAGGTGCTAACCAAAGTGAAGGCATGTCCCTCACAGTATTTGTCATGATTTGTATGTAATGCATGTAATGTTTCTTGATCTCAGCTGAATGACTCCCAGGCGGAGACAGAGTGTGTGGGACCTGTGGATGACTGCTGGGTGTGTCACAAAAAGGGCCTGGGGCCCAAGAGGAATCATGTAATAATAAAACTTGGGCCAGTCATTCTGCCTTCAAGGTCAGTCTGTATGCTGTATTCAATTCCACAAGTATTTAGAAAACATTTACTGTGTGTGTGTTAGTAATGTTGTTAGGTGCTGGGTGAGAGAGTTTGATTTCTTTAAATGTTTTATTGATGCTTTTCCCCCTTTATATCACTATCCCACTCCCCAATGACTCCTCCACCCACATTCCTTTGTAACAAACAAGTATACTCAAGCAAAACAAACCAATACTTTGGCCATGTTGGAAAACGGTATGATATACAGTCCACTGCCTCTTTAAGAGGCAGAAAGCGGCTGAGTGGGTGTCCTGGATACAGAGTTCAGATAAAATATGGTGCCTGTCTTCATGGAACTGACACTTTAAGGATGACATGAATACAAATAATTATACTTATGGCATTACATGGATATATGAATGTATTGCAATGTGACTATACTGTAATGCTATGAGAAATGAATGAATGAAAAAATATTTATTAAGTATTTAATTAAGCACTGTGTGCCAAGCACTAGGGCTATAAATCCCAAATCAGGTCAGTGTCTCCCTCAAGAGGCTTACATTCAAATGAGGAAGAGCACTCACATAGGGCAGTGGTAGCCAAGGCAGAGAGTTACGGTCTGGGAAGTCAGGGATCAGGGTGAGTGGAACAATAGGGCAGTCAATTTACGTGACCTTTTCAGAGCTAATAGTAGTGTTGGAGGGGAGAAAAGGGTATACAGCAGGAAGGTGGAAAATTGCCAGAATGAAGGGCTAGGTTTGGATTCTCTCCCAGGATCTAGGAAAGACTTAGGTGAACTAATTGGGAAGTGAAAGGTGCAGAATCAGGAAAATAATAAATTAGTATTATGTTGTTGTTATTTAGTCACTTCCAACTCTGTGGACAATAGCACACTAATACCTGCCATGGGGTTTTCTTGGCAAAGATAATGAAGTGGTTTGCCATTTACTTCTCCGGTGGATGAAAGCAAACAGAGGTTAAGTGACTTGCTCGGCACACAGTAAGTGTCTGAGGCCAGATTTGAACTCACTCTTCCTGACTCCAGGCCCAGCAATCTATGCTCTGAGCCACCCAGCTTCCTCCAGATGAACAATGACTACAAGTTCCATGGAAATAGGATAAATGAAAGGGCTGCAGAATTATAGTGGCCCCAAAGAGGAAAAG